GCAGATTGACGATCTGCGCACGTACACGCTGTGCGGCACGGCCGAGTACACGGCGCCTGAGATGGTGTCGGCGCAAGGCCATAGCTTTGGCGTCGACATTTGGGGCCTTGGCATTCTCATCTACGAGATGCTCTACGGCATCACACCGTTTGCGTGCGACGACTTGGAGAACGACAAGGACGTCGTGCTCGCTGTCTACTCGAAAATCTCACGCTACGACCGCAAGGACCTTGAATTCCCGGGCACGGAAGATCGCTCGAAAGAGGTGACGGACCTCCTCTTTCAGATTCTCAACCAGAGCCCGTACGAGCGCATTGGGTGCCAAGGTACTATCGACATCAGCACGGGCGGGTCCGTCATCCGGAGCCACCCGTGGTTTGCGTCGGTCGACTGGGTGCACGTCGCGGCCGGCGTCCAGAACGCGCCGCACGTCCAGCAGATCCGCCAAAAAGCAGCGCAGGTGTTTGATGCTGCCGCGCCGCTCGTGCTCGAACCGTACAACGGCGCGTCGTCTTGGTTTGACGGCTTTTAACTCGGCCTGGTGGCGATTCCACCTTGAACTTGCCAACGTATCTCATTGCGTGCTTCTTATGATAATACTGTGTTGTTTGATTCCGTGGTCTCTGCAGTAATAGAGGTCACTGCAGTTTAAATCCGCGTATCCATGGACGAAAATGCTACAGCGATGAAGAGGTTTCTGCCCTTGGGAGCTGCCGTCCCTTGAAGCCTATCATAGCGGCTTGCTGATGAACAATTACCTCGGCGCTCGTGCTGTAGACTTGTTTAGGATTGATTCCCTCTTCGCTAAACGTTCAACGAAACAACCTCACCAACCTTGAGCCTTGTTAGCCTTCAAAGCTACAGTGCTTGCACACATAATTGAAAAAGGGATTTGTCCTTATGTCGTCCAGATGACCCCCCCAAGACGCGATATGCTTCAAGGGCAACGACAGTGCGCATCCAAAGCCGCGCCATGGACAACCTGTGCAAATATCAAGTCGCACAGGATGAATGCATTGTGACAGGTTTATAATCCGGATAGTATCCGGTTGCGTGCGCGTGCCAATTGATTTCGGCAGGTCCAAACGAATTCGACGGCGGCAATGCCCTTTGGTCAAGTCGTCTTGGGACCGCCAGGTACGCACGCGACTACGTGGCAGCAGGAGCTGCAAGATCGATGGCGTAGGCAGCGGCAAGACCACGTACTGCAATGGCATGCAGCAGTACCTCCAGGCGGCCGGCCGCGACGTCGCGGTCGTCAACATGGACCCTGCGAACGAGCAACTACCATATCCTTTCCTTCGCCACTTGTGTGAATGCATCCTCTTCTTGGCTCTGGATGATGCTCTCCTTGACGGTCATGCTGCGATGTACATATGTAGCCGACATTGACATCATGGAGCTTGTCTGCCTTGAAAACGTCATGGACGAACTCAACCTTGGCCCGAACGGCGGTACGTACTATGTGCCATCATGACGATTACGTCCGGCTTGCTCATCGCGGAGGCGTGGCAGGTCTGGTCTACTGCATGAACTACATTGACGAGCACTTTGAGTGGCTGGCGGAGCGCCTCGGGCGGCTTCAAGGTCGACCCTGTCGTTGCCACAACCACTTTTTCCAACCAAATTGTACGATAGAAAAGTACATTTTATTCGACTTTCCCGGTCAAGTCGAGCTGTACACGCACGAAGTTAGCGTGCACAACATCCTCCAAAAGCTCCAGAAGCTCCATTACCGGGTACAACTCGATCGCGACGCGAGTTATACGATGACGCGCTCTGTAGATATCGGTTGTGCACCTTGTCGACGCGCACCACTGCACGGACAGCTCCAAGTTCATTTCGGTCGTGCTTCTCAGTCTCTCGTCCATGGTGCGCCTCGAGTTGCCGCATATCAACGTCCTCTCCAAGATGGACCTGATCCAGCAGTATGGCAACCTCGGTACACTTCTCGTGAGAGTTCTTTTGCTAACAATTCTATCCCGACAACTAGCGTTCAGCCTCGAGTTTTACACGGACGTATTGGATTTGCGCTACCTCCTGGACCGTCTCGAAGCGCAAGAGTTTGGTGAGCTCCACGAAGACGACGACGACCCGTATGCGCTCCCAGCCAACGACCTCCCGCACGCTGTCCGGTGCAAGCAAAAGCTCCGCGAGAAATTCCGCCGCATGAACGAAGTGCTCATCGAGGTGATTGAAGACTTTAGCCTCGTCAGCTTTGTGCCGCTCCAGATCGAAGACGTCGAGAGCCTCCAGCGCGTGACGCAGACCATCGACAAGTCGAACGGCTACGTCTTTAGCGACAAGCCCGCGGGCGGCATCTTCAAGGACTCGGACCTGCAGTCCGACCGCATTGGCGACATGGAGGAGAAATACGTGCGCTGAGCGTGCCACGTCATGCTAAAAACACGCACTTTTTCATTGGCTGACCTTTGCACGCCGCCTTGCATAACGATAGCACGATGCGACCAAGGTGCTCGAGTGCATGTCGTCACAATATCCCACCTGCTGCATAAGCGACCAGCGGTTGCCGCGCGGCGCTCATGGACAGAGAGCGACGACACCCCATAGATTGGGTGTTTTTATCTGCACTGTCCGCTGACGAACCAATCACCGTGCGATACGGCGCGGTATTTCGACCAATCACATGCGTTTCCAGCGCCAAGTTGCACGATCTTCTTGGCAGTCGAGCTTTGTCCGCGTCCAGCATCCTTCATCGCCAGCATGCTCCAGCGCCCGAGCATCGAGCCCTTCCTCGTCGAGAAGGAGGGCCGCAGCGAGGTCGACATGGCGCCGGCCATCGAGTGTCTTACGCCCAAGGAAGCGCCGTCGCCATCCTCGGCGGCAACGACGTCGCGACGATGGCACTGGGTCCATACCCAGCTGACGCAGAAGGTCCTGTACATCATCCTCTTTTGCCTCTCGACCTTCTTGAGCTCATCGATCGCTTGCGGCTGGGTCGCCAACGCGGTCCATCGCCCGACGTCGACGCCCTTCTCGCTCGCGCGTGCCCAAGCGGTCCTTCAGGCGCACGGGACAGCGTACGACGAGTGCATTCAAGACGCACTCGCCCACGAGATGCTCGCGCTTGTTGCGACATGGAGCCACGAGCAAGAGGTTGTTGCTAGCATTGCAGCTGCCAACGAGGTGGCGATCCTCGCTTTGGCGAATGCAACCTCGGCCTGTTCGCCCTCCTGCTTTTGCTTTTGCTGGAACCTGACGACTGTGGGTAGGCAAAGCGACCCTTGTTGAGCTGCAAGCCACGTTTCCTCTATCGTCGTCGGGCAACGTGCTCTGCTCGCCCGATGACCAACTGGCCCTCGAGACGCTCCAGAACGCGTATTCGCTTACGCAGCCGCCGACAAACAGTCGTGTCTTTCTTCGCTTCCCCAACGCCCAAGCTCAAGCCGACGCCACGGCGCTGAACCGGACGCTCACCAAGTTTCAAGAAAGTATCAACGCAGACGCGCTTGCTCTTCGCGACGTCGTTTCGGCCGGTGCATCCTCGCTCCAAACCAACATGGACAAGACCCACGCGGCCGTTCTCACGCTCCAGAGTCAGTGGTCGACAGCGACAAGCGACACGGTTGATATCCACGGCGTTCTCAGTTCGCTCCAAGGCGCCAAGGCTTCCGCGGCTGCCATCGAAGCCGTCCTCGCCAAGGCCAAGCCGGCGCTGGCCGCGGTCGGAATCGCCCTTCCGCCAATTCGCATTGCGCTGGACCTGGAGACGTCCATGACGCAACTCCTTCTCTTTGGCTCTGTGATGAACCGATCGATTGCAGCGGTTGCGGACGCGCAAGAGGCAACGCGAGATGACGCACGCGCGTGGGTCGCAGGGCTTGGCAACGCGATGGACGCCGCCAACGCTACGACCGCCAACTTTGCATCGCAGGTCGCGCGGTACACAACGCCCAACGCCTCGTCGTCGTTGCACCGGGCGACCTTTGGCAACTGGACGCTCCGAGATGCGCTGCTGGAAGAGCGAGGTGGCGCTGTCGTCGACACGTATCCCGCGTGGTGCAAAGTCGTGTACTTGATAGATTGATACTAAACACAAAACGGGTGCTTTGGTAGGAATGCATCGGGCACGGTGGTGCCGGCGGGGACAGCGACCGACGACGATGCACCTGGCAGCGATCGACGAGGTGCGTACGGGGTCAACTTCCAAGGCAACGTGGTCGCGACGTCGCTTCCACTCGATTTTCTCGTTCGACTCGCGCTCTGCGTGCTCGTGACCGTTCGGATTGCACAAGACGCATTCACCGAGGTCCCCGAGGTACCTGCTTATGAACCCGCGTCTCTTCTGCTCACCGTACTAGATCGACAACCAAAACGCATCGCGCCTTCAAACGACAGTACTACTTCGTATCGTACAAGCAGCGTCTTCAAGGTGCGTAGGCGGACTGGCTCGACGTGCTCCGTTGCCGCCACTCGATCTTGGATGTGCTGTCGAGCATCTGCCGCCTCCGTCTTTGGCCGTTCCTCGTTGCGGTCCTTCTCGGGTACGTACGTGACCACGCAGCATTCCGCACCGATTGCGTAGTGTCGTGCTCACGGCCATGACCGTGCTCATTATCCTCCCATTGAATCGCACGCACAGCGAGGCGTGTGCCAACGCGACGATGTCGGATCCGTCGCCCAACTGGCTCGGCAACATCGTCCTCACCTTTGCAAGTTCGTCCATGACGGCGAACGGCGCCCTGCACGCCTCGGCGGTCTCGCCTTCCTCTTGCTATGGGACGTCGACGCACTGTCGTTGCGTAGGGCGTCTCGACGCTGCAGTCGCTGCACGACAACTCGTGCGCGGCCAGTCAGCTGAGCCTTTTGCGTGCCAGCATGGGCCACCACGGTGCGCACACTCCGACTCACTGTAGTACGCGACGAGCTTCAACTGTACGTATGCGTAGCCAACGCATCGTTGCGGTATCGCGAGTACGCCCAGCTGCACGCGCTCGTGACGCAGCTGCGCAAGTGCATGCCGTCAAACGACATGCGCGCCGATTGTGCCGTGTCCCCTGAGGCTGTCGCTGCACTCACGCCACTGCAGGCGTCCTACACGTGCCCGGCCTACACTGCGACACGCCGCCGCGTCCAAAGCGCTTGCGCCGCCGTCGTCCGCAGCTTTGCAAGCGGCGACGGCAAGGCCCACGTATGCGCGCTCGAGCGCTCGCTGCTCGAAGTGGTCTCGGTCGCGTGGGTTTCGGTGCTCACGTTCGTCCTCCTCAACGGCGCGCACCTCTGCTTTATGAAAGCGGTCGCGTTCTGGCTCTGGCGCGCGCTCAGCGCCGGGCGGTACCCGTTCGTGGGCTTTGTTGACGGTGATGGCAACGCATTGGACGCCGACCAGCTGCGCGTGGGCCTCGAGCGCCGCCTCGCTGAGCACACGCGTCTCTGCCGTCTCTACGCCGGCCTCGCGACGGCGCTATGGCTTGTGGCCTTTCTATCGGCGCAGCGCATCCTCGCGACGCTCGGCTAATGCTGCAACCACGCGCATGAATAAAGAACCTTGTCATCTGAGTCTGGTCAGTGGGAGAAGACGCGGTGGCAACGAAGAAGACGAAGATGCGATCGCAAGGCAGCGATCTTTGAGGCCGGAAAGGGCAATGTCGACGCATCTGCCTCTGGCTACTCGAGCTCGCCACCACCCAGAGCGCTCGGCGTACGCTCGCAGCTCGTAGGCGACGTGGAGCCCTTCAATGTGACCGCTCCATCTCCAACGGCAGTGTCTATGCATCCGCCGCCAGCGCCAGGTGGTTGGGTGGTTGGCTTTTTCATTGGCGTACAGTTCGGACAGCTGGCGAGCGCACGTCGGCCGTCCTAATTTCGCGCCTCGTTTGAGGACGAAGAGGTAGTTCGTAGCGGCTCTTAGTTGCCTTTTATGGACAAGACCAGTCAGTCGCCTTTGACACTCGACGTGCTCGTACTCGTCGTCTCCACGTGTGTCTGCGCCTACGCCACCTACCGCCTCCTCGCTCCGTCCTCCGCGCCGCCGCCGTCCTCCCGTACCCGCGCCCTGCCTGCCATCACAACGCCAATGACCTCCAAGACGCCGCCAGCCAAGCCAGGTACACGCGACGTCGGATATGGCATCGCGCTCATGCTTGTGGCCATGTAGAGTCCATGTACCTCAACAACTCCAAGACCATGTACGACTTTACCGTCGGCGGCCGCGGCGAGCACTTTGAATTTGACGACTGCAAGCACGTCGTCAAGCACATTTGTCCGCGCTGGAAGGATGCGCAGCCTGATGACATTACCGTCAAGATCATCTGTGGCGGGATTACAAACCGCCTCTACCGCCTTCTTTGGAAGGACCTCTGCGTGCTGGTCCGCCTCTATGGCGAGCACACCGAGGTCTTTATTGACCGCAACGTCGACAACGGTAACCTCGACTCGACGTCGCATCGTCTCTGATGGCGTTTAGAAAACTTTGCCGAGCTCTCGCGCCGCGGGTTTGCGCCCACGTACTTTGGCCGCTTCACGAACGGCCGCGTTGAAGGCTGGGTCGACGGCACGGCGCTTGAGCCGCACCAAATGGGCGAGACGTCGCCCTTCGACCTGCTCTCGCTCATCCCCAAGGAGCTCGGCAAGATGCATGCGATGGAGATTGACATGGACACGCGTGCATGCCTCTGGACCGTACGACGATCATGTGTCCATGCAGTCGTCGCTCATGCTACATGGATGCTGGAGTAGAAGATTCAGCAGTTTGAAGACCTCGCCGCCGAGATCTCGTTTGACGAACCGGTCAAGCGGGATGCGCTCGAGCACCTTCAGCTGCACCAGGTAGGCAGCGATGGTGGTGCATCGACTCACCCGGCGGACGTAGACGATCAAGCAGCGTGTGCGCTGGCTGCAGTCGGTGCTGCCGTCGCACAAGAACAACGACGGCAAAGGCCTCCTCGAGACCTTTCGCGGGTCGGCGACGGCCAAGCTCGCGTACAGCTTCTTGCACGACTCGGTGTTTAGCCACAACGATCTGCTCAGGTACACCTCTGTTGTTGAGATTGCACTTTGAGATGGCCGTTGTTGAGATTGCACTTGTATAATAGTGGCAACATCCTCTACAATCCCGCGTGGGGCCGTGTCCAGATCATCGACTACGAGTACGGCGGGTACAACTACCGCGGCTTTGACTTTGGCAACCACTTTTGCGAGCACTGCGGCTTCGACATGAACCTCAACGACTACCCGTCCAAGGACAAGCAGGTCTCTCTCTTTCTCTTCGTTGGATTGGAACTCACATACTTGTAGTTTATTTTCTACAAGGCGTACCTTTCGACGGCGGCGCCGGCGCTGTTGCAGTCGCTGACGCGCGAAGGCCACCTCGACGCGTTCCTCGGCCATCTCCACGAGTTTGGCAACGTCTACGCGCTCGCCGCGCACATGTTTTGGGGTCTTTGGGCCATCGTCCAAGCCGGCAACTCGACGATCGACTTTGATTTCCTCGACTATGCCCGCATGCGCTTCGAAGCGTTCGAGGTGCAGCTCGATCTCTTTTGCCCGACGGCGAAGGACGTCTGAGGAGAAGGATGACCTTGTGTACATATTGTCACCAACAGCGCTTGCTTGTACTGTCTACACATGATTGTGTTGTTGCAACGAGGACCAGAAGGAGGCAGTGGTGGGGAGGGAGGTCATTATTGTCCGCATGGATCTTATACGTTTATCGCTTGCGCTTCTCGGACGGCGGGTCGGGAAAGGGCTCGAACGGCGGCAGGTTGTCGAGCGACGTCGAGTCCGAGAGCTTCTTGAAGTAGCGCGTGATCACCACGTTGGGCTTGTCCTTGTCGGGCAGCGTCAGCGTCAGCTCGACCTTCATGCGGCCAAGCTCGTCCAGCGTGCGGATATCCGTCAAGACGCCCCGGAAGCCCGAGAGATGCGTGATCGTCTTGATCGCAGTCGGCTCGCCAATGACCTTGATCTACGGTAGCACGTCGACTAAGAACCAAGAGGACGACAGTCGAGACGGACCGTGTTGGTCTTGATGATGACGTCTTGGCCAAACTTGAGCACCTTGGTCTCGAGGAAGATGCGCGTTCGCCGTGTGATGGTAAATTCGCCAGGCGTCTGCAGAATGATGACCGTCAAATCAAGCTTGTCGGCGGCTTGGCGGGCAATGAGCGGGAGGCCCTAGACGACAATAATGAAGGAAGTGCGCATCGCAGGCGAGTACCATGGCTTCGAGGTAGTCGTTGGTCGAGTCGGACGCCTCGCGGTCCAGGTCCCACGTCCCCGAGAGGTTGAGTGCACCGGCGCCCGCCGTGTTGACGGGTACCACGGGCACCGGGACGTTCGAGGCCGACGCCACGGCGACCGCCACGGCCGAGTTGACGTTGACGTTCGTGGGCTTAAAGGCGCGCTGCGCGTTGGCCGACGCGACGTTGATACGCTGCTGGTGCTGGTTCATCTGGAGCTGCATCGCAGCGACGTTCATGTTGTTGAGTGTGTTCATGGTCTGGATGGCGTTGAGGCCGGCCGTGCCGCCGGGCATGCCCATGCCGAGGCCCATGCCAATGCCCATGCGCTTGAGCTGTTGCTGCTGCTGCGCATGCTGGCTCGAGAGCGCGGCGGCGGCGGCGGCCACAATCGCCGCCGACGGCGCCGGTGCCATGGCCATGTTCATGCCGCCTGCGCCAGACGCTGTAGTGAGTCTGCTGTCCATGGAGAGGCCAGCGTCGTTACCGTTGGGGTTGGGCGGCGCGGCCGCCAAGATTGGGTTGTTCATCGAGATCGCGATCGGCTTGGAGCCGGATGGCGTCGCCGTCGCCTTGTTCGTCGCCATCGCCTATACCGAGTTCAAGATCTGTGGAACCGAAGAAGCGATGGGGGTGTCGGATACCCGTATCCGGATAGTCCGAACTATCCAGTGCCCCTCCGTTTAACGTCCTTTAACGCATCATACCCACATCAAGTGAATACGTGGCAGCTTGTCCATGCGCCGTCGTCGCCGAGGATGCCCGGACAGAGGCATGTGGGCAGTTCAAGGTGCGCTGTTAGTGGTACCGCGCTCGCGTCCCAGGCCCACGAACTTCGAGTCGGACGACGGCGGCGTGAGCACTTGAGATCGAGTTGGGTTCGAGTCTCGCTCGTGCCTCCTTTTCCGAGGATCCCGTCGACGCCCTCCAGACTGGTTGGCTCCACGCAGTCCGCAGTCTCTGCCGTGATATATATATCTCACTTCGGTCCACGGTGACCGCTGCCCCTAGATTTTCACAACAGAGAGAGACGTGGTTCGCTTTGGGTGTTTGAACCGACTGCAAACAGCTTGGAAGGTCGTTGGCTGGCATGGAGCCGTACGGTCGATGCCCACGGGGCGGCCTCGCTTGCAGAAAGCAAGAGAACGACTTCGGTAACGGTGTGGAGTCGTGTTGGTCTCCATTACAAAGCACCAGCTTCTACTACATCATCGGTCGTTCCATCGTACTACGCCGTGTCTTCCATCGACACAACTCGAGTGAGCGTCTACTCGTGCTTGAGCTTGCCCGCCATGCGCTTCTCGAGGTCGCGCGCGGCAAAGTGCCGGCCAAAGAGCTTGAGCACTTCGTCAATGAGGATGACGGGCAGCGAGAACGCGAGGACGACGAGCCACTCGTTAAAGTCGAGGGGCGTGACGCTAAAGATGGCCGCGAGCCAGTCGACGTACAGAATGACAAAGTGCAGGCCAAACGACACAAACATGGCAATGATCAGGTACGGGTTGGACCACGGCGGCATCGTCACGAGCGACCCGTCTTCCGAGAGCGCGTTAAGCGCGTTAAACATCTCGATCGCGACCAGCACCGAGAGCGACAGCGTCGACGCCTTGGCCTTGCCGACCGTAAAGTACGCGCACGGGTCCGCCGAAAAGTCATGCCCGTCAAAGTTGTTGACGGTAAAGTTGGACCACGTCGCGCACTTGCCCCAGTTCGTGAGCTGGTGGTACGTGATGAGCGAGTGGCCGTCGTTGGACGCGTCGTAAAACATGTACCAGTAGGCAAACACACCGACGCACGCAAAGCCCACGTAGATGCCGACCACCATGTAGCGGAAGAAGGTCCAGCCGTTGATGAGCACGTCGTTGGCGCGGCGCGGCGGCTTGGTCATAATGTCCTTATCGGCCGGGTTGAAGCCGAGCGCGGTCGCGGGCGGGCCGTCCGTGACGAGGTTCACCCACAGCAACTGGACGGGAATGAGGCCTTCGGGCAAGCCGAGCGCGGCCGTGAAGAAGATGGCCGCGACCTCGCCAATGTTGGACGAGATGAGGTACCGGATGAACGCCTGCATGTTGTTGTAGATCGCACGGCCTTCCTCGACCGCTGACACGATCGTGGCAAAGTTGTCGTCGGCCAGCACCATGTCGGCAGCTTCCTTGGCGACTTCCGTGCCCGAGATGCCCATGGCGATACCAATGTCGGCCTGCTTGAGCGCGGGAGCGTCGTTGACGCCGTCGCCCGTCATGGCCGTCACCTCGCCGTTCTGCTTGAGCATCTTGACCAGCATCTGCTTGTGCTTGGGCTCCGTGCGCGAGAACGCCATGCCGTTGCCGTCCTTGTTCATCAAGAGCGCGACTTGCTTCTCGGCCGGCAGCGAAAAGAACTCGGCGCCCGTAAACGACTTGGTCGAGACGTCCTCGTCGGCCTCAAAGATGCCAATCTTGCGGCACACCGACTCGGCCGTGAGCTTGTTGTCGCCCGTAATCATAATGACGCGGATGCCGGCCGTGTTGCACATGGCAATCATCGGGCGGACCTCCGGGCGCGGCGGGTCGAGCATCCCCGTGAGGCCGAGGAACGTCAAGCCTGATTCGATCGACGCAAAGTTGTCCGTCTGCTCGAGCGTCTTGTGGGCCGCGTGGTGGCGGTCACCGTCGTACGACGCGAGGTTCTTGAGGTCCGACGTCTTTTGCGCAATTGCGAGGCAGCGCAGACTCAGGCCCGCCATCTCCGTCACCTTGGCCAGAATCGCCTTCTTGCCCTTCTCCGTGAGCGCGACGGTCGTGCCGTTGCTGAGCTGAATGGACGTGCAGCGCTTGAGGAGGCCTTCCGGCGCGCCCTTCACAAAGAGCACGTTCGCCTTGGTCGCCACCGACGCGCAAATCACCGACATGGACTTGCGGTCGCGCGAGAATTCGAGCGTGGCGAGCTTCTTGAACTGGCGCTTCCAGAACGAGTTGCAGTACTGGACGGCCTTCGCCGGGTTGGTCTTGCGCAGGCCCTCAAACTCGGCTTGGGCCGTCGCGTCCGGCACACCGGCCTTCTCGACGAGCACGCGGAGCGCGGCTTCTGTGGGCTCACCGACGCGGACGTACTTGCCGTCGTTGTACTCGATCTCCGACTCGTTGCACATGGCGCAGACGGTGGCGAGGCTAAAGACCGACTTTTGGCTACCGACCTGCGTCGTCTTGATGGCGCCGAGCGGCGCATACGTGTGGCCTTCAACCTCATACGAGATGAGATCGTCTTCGGTCGCACCCGGGTGCGTAAAGCTAACGCACGACATTTCGTTGGTTGTGAGCGTGCCCGTCTTGTCCGAGCAAATGACTGTCGTGCAGCCGAGCGTCTCGACCGACGGCAGCTTGCGCACGATCGCGTTCTTCTTGGCCATCTTCTTGGTGCCGAGCGCGAGGCAAGTCGTAATGACGGCAGGCAGACCTTCCGGGATGGCGGCGACAGCCAACGCGACGGCAATCTTGAAGTAGTAGATGCACCCCTTGAAGACGGAGCCGTGCACGGGGTCGAAAAAGTTCTTGTAGTTGATCAACCACACGACGAGGCAGATGACGCCAATGACCTTGGAGAGGAGCTCGCCAAACTCGTCGAGCTTCTTCTTGAGCGGCGTCGACTCTTCGTCTTCGGCGGCGGCCTGGACGCTCTTCTGGATCTGGCCAATCTCGGTTTCCATGCCGACCTTGACGACGACGCCGTGGCCCATGCCGTTGACAATGACGGTCGTCGCAAAGAGCATGTTCTTCTTGGCCTGGATCACGTCTTCCGTGTTGGCCGGGAGCTCGTCGATTTCCTTGTTGACGGAAACACTCTCGCCCGTCATTTGCGACTGCTCCGCGCGCATCGCCGTCGTCTTGAGCGAGATGAGGCGCATGTCGGCCGGCACCTTGTCGCCGACGCGGACTTCGACAACGTCACCGGGCACGAGCTCGCGCGCAGCGATCGTCTGCATGTGGCCGTTGCGCAGGACGCGCGCGTTCTCCGGCTGCAAGTTCTTGAGCGCTTCAAGGGCCGACTCGGCGTTCGACTCTTGCCAGACGCCAACGACGGCGTTCAGCACCAAGATGACCAAGATCACAAACGGCTCGACGTACGCGCCGATCCCTTCGCCATGGTTGTCCTCGTCCATCCACGCCAGGACAAAAGATACCATGGCCGCGGCGAGGAGGATCTTGACGAGCGCGTCGTCAAACTGCTCAAGCACGAGCTTCCACAGCGGCGTCGCCTCTTCCTTGTCGAGCTCGTTATAGCCATGCTCCTTGCGCGAGGCCTCGACCTGGGCATCATTGAGACCCGCTTCTTCCGTGACTTTGTAATGCGCTAGCACTTCGTCGACCGTTTTCTACGCACGTAGATGCATGAGCCTCCTGCATGCATAGAGCGCCATGGAGCAGGTCGTCGTCTACCAGGTCGAAGCGGACTGCCATTGCGCCTTGTGCAATTCACGGGAAATATGCTAATCGCAAAACCTCCTCCGCCCCATGTCTCTGTGCTCCGATCTGATTGGCTGAAATAAATCCATTTCTTTCTGCACATGGAAGAAGATCCGGATACGGTGGCCAGAAGGCCGCCGCCGATTGGTTCGACACGTGGCACCGTGGTGTCGTATCCGGACGCGCCCCACACCGCGATCTTGGCAATGTTAAATAGTGTACACCTCTCAATAGTGTAACATGAGGTGTGCGGCCGCGTCTGCTGCAGCCGTGCCGCGTCACGCTTCCACTGGAAGGCATCTATCCATCGCCTTAATTCATGCACGTCGCTTGCCATCTCGAAAGCAAGAGCGGCGCGGTGGTCGTTGGTTCCTGCGTCGTCGGCACAAGGCCGCGCGACCCGCGTGTCCCTGGATATCTCAACCTTTCATGCATGCATGTGCCGTCGCCACATGTCGTAGGCTACTCCATGCAGCTCGCGTTTCTACATCCTCCTCCATTCTTTTCGCAGGCGAAATTCATGGCCAAAGCCGCGGATCGCAAAATTATCGAATATTACACTATTCACGTGTAGAAATTTCGAAGCCGGCGACGGAAATCGTGTAAGGTTGTCCCCCGGCTTCTCGAAAAAGCAGGGGCAATGTTGAAGTAGCCACATCCACGATGGCCGTCTCGGTCCGCCTGGAAGCGCCGACAGCGCTGCATTGCGAGCTGCATCGGTAGCGCCGCCTGCTGCTGCTCTCGCTACTATTACTCGGCGCTATGGCCGCAGAGACAGGCAGACAGGCAGACACTCGTGGCGCAACGACAGTCCACGCCTCGTGAAGGGGCTCAGCAGGCAGTAACCAAGTGGTGGCGTCATATCGCGAGCATAGGATGATAGGATGTGCCAGGATGGCCCACTCACCACTGCGAATTCGCCAGCCTCACCACTGCGAATTCGCCAGCGCTTTCAATCTTGGCGGCAAGTCTATACGTCTTCTACTAGGTCGCCCGCGCTGGAAGTATTCGTTGCAAATAAGGTTCATTGACAGTGTGCATCATTATCATGTCTGGAACGGCTTGCTGGGCTGGCGTGGGTCCTTGCGCAAGTCGAACGAGCTCATGTGCTTCTTCTTTTCTTTCGCCAGCAGCACGGACGCGAGCGCAAGGATGCCACACATGGCAGCCTACCTCCTCACGCATCGCATGGGACCTTACAATGCCATGGCCACATACCTCGAAGGTGAGGACGACGGAAAAGTCTTGGTTCGCCGCGGGCGGTATGCAGCGCTCATATACCGTTGTGTTGGCCGTCTCGCTCTTGCAGAGAAGCTCTTGCTTGTGGCCCGTGCCCCGGCACCAGTTTTCGTTCTACGAATCATGAGCCGACCATCTAGCGGTCGCGCATCCTACCGCTTCCGACTTGGCGCAAGGAAGGCAGTCGCCGACAGCGTGGCACTGGTCGCCGAGCTTGGAGCGCAGCTTCGGGTCGGCCGACGCGCAGAGCGTGAGGACGGCGACGACGAGCGCGGCCAGCAGCGCCGTCGACTTCATCGGTTGTGGGATGGGCTGGCGAAAAAAACACGCCACGGTACCGTAAACGTTTTATTCCCTTGTCTAAAGTTACAGTGTAGCATACAAACATACATATATAATTTGTAGGGTGTTTTAAACATTAGTCAGATGTCCGGATACACTGGCGTGTCCGCATACCATGCCACTGCGGAAGGATGTTTGCCGTGGACCCTGAGTTTGCTGCCGATGAGATCGAGCTCTGCCTCGACTTTGATGGCGCCGTCATCGTCGACGACGACGACATCCATGACGCACCACGTGACGCCGCCTCGTGTAGCAGCCTCGGGGCTGCCAGCGACGACGCTCTTGCACGCGCGATCGAGCGGCTCAAGCTCGTAGATGCGTCCGCTCTCTCGACGCTGCTGCATCGCATGGTTCGCTGCCGCCTCACCATACGACGACTCATGCGGCGATGCTGGTGTAGGACCAGCTAGAGACGGCGGCCACAGCCTCGACGCGTCAGCTTGCGGCGCAGGAGGCGGAGATGCGCCATCTTCGACAGTTGTACCACAGTGCAATCCAAGAAACCGAGCGTCTGGCACAGCAGCAAGCACAGCCCGTTGCCATGGCGCCGCCTGCGTCGGTACGAGGCTCTCCTGTACAGCCTCCCGAAGCGCAACATCCCATGATGCGTAGCTGCAGAGCTCGCTCCAAGAAGTGATGGAAATGGATCTCAAGGTGCATCAGCTGGCCAAGGAGAAAGACCAGCTCGCCTCGGAGAACCAAGTATGACGTCCACGATGTTTTCGAGCCTTCTACAAAGCGTAGGTGGGTAGCGCGTGACGTCGCTCTGCGCGCAGTTCCAGCAAGAAGTCATGTGGAAGACGCTTGACCTCTCGGACAATGAGCGCAGTCTCCAGCGACTGGAGTGGCAGCTCGCGGCCGAGAAGACCAAGGTCAATGACAAGACACAGGAGATTGCCGACTTGCGGGCCAAGGTTGCCGCCCTCGAAGACCAGACGACGACGCTCCTCAAGCACAAGAAGGTGCTCATCACCGAAGTCAAGTCGCTGCAAAAGTACTCGCATGTCAATGTCACGGCGCTCGCCCAAGATGCGCACGAAGCGCGCATGGTGCAGAAGAGCCTCGCCGAGAAGCTCGCGAGGTATACCATCCTGCGATCCTCGTATCGTTAGCTAGATTTCGCTGTATGTAGCGTGCAGCATGAGCGGGATGCGCTCCAGGCGTCGCTGCGAGCGCCGCCCTTGCCCGCACAGGCTAGTCTTGTCGCGATGGACAAGGCTACCTTGCCGTAACGCAATATTGGCGTCTAATGATCAACATGTACTATCCACTTCCATACGCATGCTGGCGTGGCCATGCGGTGCCATTACATCGGGCATGGCCCTCGAAGAGGAAGTGCTCGCACCTATGGTCGCCATCCACGTCGCCTCGCGCAGCCGCGCTCGCGGCCTCTTGGCTGCATCGTCCGAGCGCGTCATTCGGCGACGGTGCATGATGGGGTGGCTGCCGCTCCTCTCGCGACGCTTCCGGACCACAACCCCAAAATGGTTTCGGTGCAAATTATATTCCACGCATGGGATCTCAATACAGATCCCGAGTCATAAAATAAAAAGGGCGGGCACGGCCCCACAAGGTACTTGTTCTCACAGTCCGGTTAAGGAGAAATCGACGATGTTCCAGCGCCTCCGCCATGCCGTCGGGTGGGGTTCTTCCTCGGGCATCGGGATGCACATGGCGAGCGGCCAGTCGAGGGTCGACTTCCAGGTGCATGCGCCGTTAGGCCATGGCGAGTCCCTCTACGTGGTCGGCGACGCGTCCGCGCTCGGTACGGCGCTGCCATCGCACGTCGACATGAGCGCGGTCCAGAGCCCCAAGCATGGCACGACAAGCGTACCGCCGTCGCCGCAGCACCCGACGCAGATCATGCACTTCAACGAGGCCCACTACACGTACGCGCGGCGCGACGACGCGACGAGCGGCGTCGTGCCCGGGTCCTTTGTCGGCAGTTGCCGCCTCGTCACGACGCCCGAGATGTACCCGCTCTGGTACAACGCCGATCCCGTCGTTTTGAGCTCGAACACCGTGCTCAACTATCGGTACGCGGTCTGCGCCGGCGGCAAGTTTGTGCGCTACGAGACGATCGAGCGGTCGGCGACCATGCTGGGCGACGCAATGCAAATCCAGGACGTCCTCGACCAAAGCCGCGAGGATCTGTACGCGAAAGGCCAGATGCAACAGTTTGAGAAGGAGCTCTCGCACACGGTCGTGCCCCGCCTGAGCAGCGGCCAAGCCTTTGTCGACCGCCGGGCGACCGCCGCCATGACCGACGACGTCTCTCGCCGTGGCATCAAGCGCGGCAGCACGCGCCTCCTCAAAGAGTCGTTTTCGATTCCCGAAGGCGAAGAGCGCGAGAACGACGACGAGATGAGCATGGCACCGGCGTCGCTCCTGCCACCGGCGTCGCCGCTGCCGTGGCACGACCCGGACGCCAGCACGAACCTTGGCGGCATCGGGCTCGGGCTCCGCCGCCGCTCGGGCGGCTACAACGCGTGCCCGTCCCCCAGCACGAACGTCAATAGCAAGGACGAGAGCACGGGCTCGCCCCTCTCGCCGCAAAACCTCACGATCGAGTCGACAGACGGCGTCATCATCGTCGTGCACCGTCTTCCGGTGCTTGTGACGCGGCGCGAGGACGGCGAGTATGACATTGACTGGGAGGACGACAACCTTCTCTGCCCATCGGGCCTTATCAAGGAGAACAAGAGCAACGGGCTCCTCTATCGGGACGGCACGTCGTCGGCGATGCGGCTCACGTGGGTCGGCCTCGTGCACTGCAAGGATCCGATTCCAAAAGCCGACGAAGAGAAGCTCGCGCGGCAGCTCCAAGCCTTCCATTGCGTGCCAGTGTTTTTAGCCCCCGCGATGCACCAGACGTTCCATGCGTTTTGCTACGGAACGCTGTGGCCCATCTTCCACAACATTGTCGACGTGTACGGAAAGCTCCCGACGCGGTGGTGGAACCCGTCGCAGCAGAAGAACGCGTGGAGCTCGTACATGCACGTGAACCGGATGTTTGTCAACAAGGTCATTGAGATCTACAACGAAGGCGACCTCGTCTGGGTCCACGGCCTTCATCTACTGGTCGCGCCGTCCTTTCTTGCGCGCCGGCTGCCGTACGTCAACGTCGGCCTCTTTCTGCATACACCATTTCCGTCGTCCGAGATTTTTCGGACGCTCTCGGTGCGGGCCGACCTCCTCCGCGGCATGCTCAGCGCCGACCACATTGGTACACGCTTGATACTCTTGCCTTGATAGATTGATACGATTTTGTGGGGGTAGGGTTTCACTTGTACGAACACGCACGCCACTTTCTCACGAGCTGCCGGCGCATCCTCGGGCTCAAGTACACGGCGCAGGCCGGCGGGTACATTGGCGTCGAGTACAATGGACGCATGGTGGCGGTCACGATCAGTCACATTGGCATCGAGCCGCCGTTCGTCGAGCGGCTGAGCGTCAAGGACCAGGTCGTGGAGGAGACGCGCCGCCTCAAGGAGCTCTACCGCGCGGGCGAGAAGACGATCATTGTGGGCATTGACCAAGTCGAGCGCCTCAAGGGCATCAACCTCAAGTTTATCGCGATCGAGCAGTTTCTCAAGACGTACCCTGCGTACCGCAACAAGATCCAAGTCGTCCAGGTCCCCCCTTGCCGACGATCGAGAGAGAAATGTATCGTATGCAATCCTAGATTGGCATTGTCGATGGCTCGGACACGTCCGAGGCCAAGCTGCGCTTGCGCCAAGAGCTCCGTGCGACGGTGCAGCGCATCAACGCGGCCTTTCCGCAGGAGCACGAGCCCGTGATTGCGTACTCGGAGCTCAACAACACGGACTTGTCGATCCGCCTTCCGCTCTGGAACCTCGGCGACATTATGGTGCGTTTGCTCGTGTTCCTGATTTTTCGTGGATTTTCCATGTTTTCATGATTTTCACGCTTTTTTGCATAGCTCTTGACGACGGTCCGCGACGCCGTGAGCTTGTACCCGTTCGAGTTTGTGTACGCGCACAAGCTCTCGAACGACCCGGGCGTCGTCGTCGTGTCGGAGTTTTCCGGCAGCAGCCGCGTGCTCACGGGCAGCCTCGGCGTCAACCCGTGGAAGCGCAACGAGATTGTCGAGGCGCTGTACGCGGCGGTGACCATGTCGCCGGCCGAGAAGGCGGCGCGGCACTTGCACGACTTTGAGTACGTGGCGTTCAACACGCGCACGAAATGGGCCGAGCGCATTCTCGTCGACCTCAAGCGCACGAGCAAGGCGAGCTCGACCGTCGGCATGCAGTACATGGGCTACGGCCTCGGGCTTGGCTACCGCATGCTCGAGTTCAACGCGGGCTTTAAGCTCCTCGAGACGGACACGGTCGTGCGTGCGTACCGCCACAGCTTTCGCCGCGTCCTTTTGTTTGACTATGGCAACACGCTGCAGCAAGAGGCGACGCCGGCCCATGACTTTTCAAAGTACATTCAAGAAGACGAGAACGGCGCGATCACGAGCCAAGCGCAGCACGACGCACTGCCGCCGTCCAGCGAACTCCTCTCGGCGCTCGGAAAGCTCTGCGCCGACCCGCGCAACACGGTGTTTGTCCTCAGTGGCCGCGAGCGCCAAGACCTCGAGAAGACACTGGGCGGCGTCAAGTGCCTCGGCTTGGCGGCCGAGCACGGATACCTCTACCGGTGGGGTGACAGCGGCAAGGAAGACGACGCGTGGCTCTGTACGAAGGAGAACTTTGACGACTCGTGGAAGGACATTACGCACTCGGTGATGGACATTTACACGCAGGTACAACCAATATTGTCTATTGTCGAAAGATGGACGATGTACATGGATAGCGCACGCACGGCACGTACATTGAGCTGAAAGGCAGCGCGCTCTTGTGGCAGTTCCGCGACGCGGACCCCGAGTTTGGCCAGTTGCAAGCCAAGGAGCTCCACGACCAGCTGCAGCAAGTGCTCGAGACGTACCAAGTTGAAGTGCTCACGGGCACCGACTACCTCGTACGCGTTTTTTCGAAAGGGTGCGGGCTGCCGGAATTGATGCCGCGACTAGGAGGTGCGCCCCGAAGGCGTCGACAAAGGCGTCATGGTCGACCGGATTCTCTCGACGCTCGAGAGCCAGCAAGCATCGCCGGTCGACTTTTGCTTGTGCATTGGCGACGACCAGTCGGACGAATTTATGTTCTCGTACCTCGAAGAGCGCCACATGCCCAAGACGTTTACGGTCACGGTCGGGAAGAAGCCGAGTGCGGCCAAGCACTTTCTCAACGACGTCGACCAGGTCATGGAGGTGCTCAATGCGCTCACCAAGGTCTCGACGACCTCGAACCGCAACCTCTCCATGAACGACTTGCGGCTCATGGAGCAGCGCCCGCAGCCGTTCCCGCTCCCTCGGTACGTGATTTTTGAGTGTTTTTTGCCTTTTTGGATTTTTGGTTGCTAAAAAGACTGCGTAGCGTCGACCGACCGTCGCTCGAGGAGCAAGTGGCGACGCCGCCGAGTTCGCTCAAGACGGCCAAGTACTCGATGTCGATGAGCGCGCTCTCGTCGGTGGCTGCCGAGCCGGCCTTGGGGCTGCGCCGCGTCGCGTCGACGTCGGCCACGTCGTACGAGCAGTACTTTAGCAACATTGACGAAGAAGATGACGACGACGGCGGCGGTATCTTTTTTTAAACGCAAATTTTAGGGTCCAGATGATATGTGTACAACTTGTCTTTTTTCCGTGGACTTCACATTTCCAGGTACATTACATGGCGCTTCGGCTGTACATATCCATGGAGATAGCAATGATAGAGTGTTGCTTGGACAGAGAGTGTCCTGGACAGAGCGATGAATCGGCGTGTAAAAAGGCTCAACGTCAATGACAGACAACGACTTGTCCAAATGAAGAAACGACCTCAAACGACCGTGCCTCTGTGTTTTCCAACGTGGCCTGCCTCAGGCCATCATACACGATGATGAGCTATAGTACCCATCAACCTCGCCGCCGCAATAACGTGCCAATTGCTATGGCTGTCGTCCTCCAGGCGCTGTTGGCAGCATTACCATCCACATAACATCGTTGACCTCATAGCTATCTTGGATAGTTGTTATACATCGGATAGTATTGTTTGAGACCGCTAGCGAGTCTCGGCTTCGGTCATTTGCTCTATGTTGACCTAACGGTCTGGCTGACATTTACTGGCGACTTGAATTTTGTGCGCCAGCTCCACGAGCTGTGCGGGTCTTCGCTGCCTTAGCCTACACGGTTATAGTGGTGACGTGTATCTCTGCCAACTCGTGGGTAAGTTAAGAACACAGCTCACGCAGGCGTCCGCTTGCTTTAGAAGATCACGTTAATGCAAGATGGCGAACGTAGCAACCTCAAAGACGTCTCCGTCACCGGCCTCCAGGGAATAACTATTTATTCCCTTGCCGGCCTCGGTGGTATTTGGACAGCAAATCAAGGCCATCTCGATATCCTGGAGTAGCACTCACGTTGTGTGCTACCTTCATGAGAATTGTAGTCATCGCTGCAACCAGCAACGCTTCGTGGAAGCCCAGCTGAGAGACCATCGTGAGCGCACGCCATCAATGATCGATTCGATCCGCTTGCATATTGCCCTTCTCGCCATTATCCGGCTCCTTGTACGGATAAACACAGTGGACCAACAGTCCCCAGCACGACCATCACTCAGCTGACGTACAGTGTAAAACAACCGAAGCGGCGCATCGGTTGAACCCTGCGGTCATTTGCCCTTTGACGGGGATGGCTTCAACCGTGCTCCGGTCGCCCGCCTACATTGCAGCCATCGCGTCGTACCAAGAGGGACTGCCTAAAGACTTGGCGATCGTCCAGCTCACGCCATGCTCACCGTTGTTCATCTTATACCAAACGGGGTATCGCGCCGACATCCCGGCCCGGTTTGCATCGCTGCCGTACCTCCAGCGCTACCCACACCCGGTGACCAAGCTAGCTCATTACGCGCTCTTTGTCTCGCCACAAATGTACGACCGAGCCCTCGCGCTCCATCTAACGATTGTCGAAGGCGACGTGGCGCTCGTCCAGCGCTGGTTGCGATGGGATGCCTCGCTGTGTACCTCGGCGACGCTGGAGCTTGCTGCTGTCGCGTTGCAAGGTCCGATTCTGCGTCTTCTTTTCGAGCAGTTTCCAACGCTAGCCACGCCCAAGATGATGGACCTTGTCGCCATGTCGGGCGATCTCGAGCTTTTGAAATGGCTTCACGAGGCGGGTGCTGCGTGCACCACTGGCGCGATGGACGGCGCAGCCATGAACGGTCACTATGACATCGTCCTTTTTCTGCACTCGATGCGGACCGAGGGCTGCACGATCGCGGCGGCAACAGCAGCAACCGTCCATGGTCATGCGTCGATCGTTCGTTTTCTTCTCGAGCAGCGTACCGAAGGCGTTGACCCATCGCCTCAATTTAAACGACCACATTACGAGCTCAAGACGCACAGTGTACGCGGCGAGACGCACATTGAGGCTGTCGACCTCGTCGCAGTGACCGTCGAGTTGACGGACCACGCTTTCAAAACGATCGCGGACAAGGGTGGTCTGGCTACACTGCAGCACGTCTACGCACGCGGGTATCTCAGGCGAATGACCAAGCCCTTCCTGGAGCTGGCGGTTGCCAAACAAGACCACGAAATGCTACGCTACGTCCTCGCTCGCGTCGACCAAGAGCATCCGCGCCCACCCAGCGACGACGAGTGGCTGCCGTTCAACGGACCCGCCAAACGAGACGTTTGACTTGCATGCTTACTTTTTTGTCCCCGGCACTAGTCCAGACGACCGGTGGGTGCACTGCAAAGTGATGGGTCTCGCGGCCTTCAACGGTGACATGACGTCGATGGAGCTCTTGCACAAGAGCCGCCTTCGCGTCGGGTCGGAGCGAGCCATCGTCTACGCGGCCTACCGCGGTCACCTGCACGTGCTCGACTGGCTGCACAAGAGCCGACACGATGGCTGTGACGAAGACGCGATGGCGCTTGCTGCAGCCCGCGGTCACTTTGACGCTGTGCGCTGGCTCCACGAAGTCTACGGGCTGTGTCGAACCCACGCCGCCTTGGCGACGGCAGCCTACATTGGCCACATGGTGATGGTGACGTACCTCTTGGACGTGCCGACGGGTGGCGTCGACAATCAGAGTGACACGCCTGATGAGAACTCTAGCAGGGGCGCAACGCTGCCACTGCGAGATGGACATCTTGGCAGGTCGTATGTCGACTACGTCAGAGGGTCGCCGACGTACTGGGCGGCGAGCCAAGGCCACCTCGACATCCTTGAGCTGCTCGTCGCTCGCGGCTACAACGTGCCGCCGAATGCCATTGAGAAAGCCGTGGAAAACGGTCACTTGCACGTTGTGCGCTACCTCCACGAAGGTTTTGGTCAGCGCTGCAACTACCGACACGTGTTGGTAGCTGTTCAGGAGCGCCATGGCGACACCGTCGCGTATGTCCTGCAGCGCGGCGTGTGGCAACTCGACGACGATCTCTCAAGCGACGACAACGCACATGAAGTTGCGTTGCACTTGCTGCTCGTGGCCACTGCCCGCAGCGGGAGCCTCGACATCTTGAAGCAGGTTCGCGATGCTTTTCAAATTCCAGCGCAGCTACCAGCTCGCGTCTCGGAGCGCATGATGGTCCGCGCAGCGTCCCACGGCCATCTCGACATGCTCCGGCATTTGCACGACGTCCATGGCTTTGGATGGACGCCAATCGTTCAAGAAGCAGCGAGACGCTGCGGTCGCAAGAACGTACTGCGCTACTTGCAGACGCTTGGGCCCGCGGATGTGTCCGTCGACACTCAAGATTCGTGGAATGAGAGATTCGACTTGTGCTTTTCCAAGGCGATTGTCGACGGTGTGATGCGCGTGCAGCCTCTCTAGCCACCTCGCCACCTTGAATATGAATGAACGTGTTGCGCGTTATCTTGGTTGTTACATAGAGTTCGCATACCGAGAGACGAGCAACCTCCTTCTTCTTGATTCGCTGGCCGGGCCGTGGCTGCGCAGGCGGCGGCGCGGGGGATCGTCTTGTTCGTCTGTAGTTGCCCGGCGGCGCATGCAGCCGCGGGTGAGGCCCATGACGACAAGCTCCGTAAATTGCTTCCAGGCTTCGCGATCGACGGCAAAGCGACGCAACCTTGCTGGATATACTAGTACGAATCCATTTCCTTATACGTATACTGTATACATGTCGGAACCTGCTTCGCGTTATCTGACAAGACTTTGTGTCTGCGTTGAAATGAGTCGTCCTCTCTACTCGCTACTACTAGGTCAAGGCTGCGCAGACAACGACTTGTCCAAAGAAGAAGCGACCTCAAACGACCGTGCCTTTGTTCCAACGTGGCCCGCCTCAGGCCATCATCCACGATGATGAGCTACGCACCCATCAACCTCGCCGCCTCAACGTGCCAATGCAATGGCGGTCGTCCTCTAGGCAGCATTACCGTCCACATAGCATCGTTGTCCTCTCGCTCGTATGACTATCTTGGATAGTTATCGATCGGATAGTATAGTTTGAGAGACCGCTAGTGACACTCGGCTTCGGTGGTTCGAGCCAAGAAGACTCAAGTGTGGGATCGCCGCGTCGGCTTTCTGAGTCGGGGCACCAGCTGGTCGCGGTTTGCTCTGTTTACCGGATGATTTCTCAAACTCAAGCGCAAGATGCTTCGCGATCTCGGTGCTTGTTGGACAGGAATTGCTGCAACTACACTGCGCCATCGATGCAATGTCATGTCCAGAAAGCATCGCTAGTAGTGGCTAGTAGTGTGCTTCGTGGGTCGATGACGCCTTTATGAAGCGATTTTTGTACGCAGCTCAATTCAATAGCAGTATGGATTTGAGTTTCAGTGGCACGGTATCCGGACAAGGATTTGCAGTGGCACTTGCATTTTGAGATTGACCGTGCCATGGCATCAGCGCAGTTTTCGCCGTCCGAAGAGATTGTGCCCAAGCACGAGACGCTCGCGAGCCACCTCCTCCAGCTCTACCCCGAGTACGACGGTCGCAACACGGTCGTCGCTATCTTCGACACGGGTGTCGACCCCGGCGCGCCCGGCCTCCAGTTCACGTCCGACGGGAAGCGCAAGATCATCGACGTCGTCGACGCCACGGTAGGCTCCCTCTCGTCCCACCATGTCAACAACCTCATCTCTCTGGCGCTAGGGCTCGAGTACGTCCCGCCATCCTTCCGCCTCGTCCGCATGATATGACGTTGCTTCTGCTGCGTGTAGGCGACGTCGACATGGCGACCGTGCTCTCGCCGACCGACGGCAAGCTCACATTGGCGTCCGGTACAGCATCTCTCTACCCACAAACCTCGAAGCATCCATGGAGCGTAGGCAAGGTGCTCACGCTCAACCCGGCCTGGACCGCGACCGAGTTCCGCGTTGGCACCAAGCGCGCGTACGATCTGTACCCGGACCCGCTCGTCGCGCGCATCAAGACCGAGCGCAAGGAGAAATGGGACATTGCGGACCGCGAAGCTAAAAACGCCGTCCAATCCGCGCTCGCTGCGTGGACGGCGGCCCACGGCGCAGCGCCGACGCCAGCCGACCTCGAGGCGCGCCTCGACCTCCACGCCCGCCTCGAGCTGCTCGAGAAGACGGCGTTCGAGGACCCGGGTCCGATCTACGACTGCGTGACCTTCTTTGACGGCACGCAGTGGCGCGCCGCCGTCGATGCGTCCGAGTCGGGCGACTTGACGTCCGTGCAGGCGATGACCAACTACCGCGTCGCACACGAGTGGAGCACGTTCGATGACGCGTCGCAGCTCAATTATGCGCTCAACATTTACGACGACGGCAAGGTGCTTAGCATCGTCTGCGACGCTGGATCGCACGGGACGCACGTGGCGGGGATCGTGGCGGCGTACGATGCGGCCGACGCCAAGAACAATGGCGTCGCGCCGGGTGCGCAGATCGTCTCGGTCAAGATTGGCGATTCGCGGCTCGGCAGCATGGAGACGATTGTTGGTATTGCCCGCGGGTACACTCTTAGTCCATGCCAGCCCGATCCCATGTCTCATATACAGCGATGCATATATAGGGCGCTGGCCGTGCTCGACAACAAGTGCGACGTGGTCAACATGAGCTACGGCGAGTTTGCGTCCACGCACAACAGCGGCCGCACGATCGACGTGATCCAAGAGCTCGTCGACCGCCACGGCGTCACGTTTGTGAGCAGCGCCGGCAACGAAGGCCCGGCCCTCGGCACGATCGGCGCGCCCGGCGGTCTCTCCAGCGTTCTCAGGTCGTCGTAATCACTCACAACTATGTGTGTAGGGACCTCGGGGTGCATTCTTGGCGTCGGTGCGTACGTCTCGCCGGCCATGATGGCGGCCGAGTACTCGATGAAGGACACGCCGTCGAGCGCTGTCGGCCTCTACACGTGGTCGTCGCGCGGCCCGACGTACGACGGCGACGTCGGCGTCAACGTCTGCGCGCCTGGTGGCGCCATCACGTCTGTGCCCAACTGGACGCTCACGAAGAAGATGCTCATGAACGGCACGTCCATGTCGTCGCCCAACTGCGCTGGCAACGTCGCGCTGCTCATTAGCGGCCTTAAGGCCCAAGGCATCGCGTACACGCCGTACTCGCTCCGCCGCGCACTGGAAAACACGGCGATCTCGGTGCCGACGGCCGAAGCCTTCTCGATGGGCCGCGGTCTCATCCAGGTGCTGCCTGCGCTCGAGTACCTCGTGCAGCACGCCAACAACTTTGACGGGAGCAAGAAGTTTCCGCTCTATCATGACATTCGCGTCCCGAGCCGGCACAACGCCCGTGGCATCTACCTCCGCGAAGTCGCCGATCTCGCTGACAACAGCCTCGCCGTGGTGGTCACACCGGTGTTTCATAAGGACGCCGAGAACGCAGACCGCATTGCGTACGAGACGCACCTTCGCCTCGTGCCAACCAAGCCGTGGATCCGGTGCGCGGACGCCCTTACGCTCTTGCACCAAGGTACGACGACGTTGTAGGATATGGATGCGGTGGCGCTCACGGTATGGATGTAGGACGCAACTTTAAGGTGGACGTGGACACGGCTGTCTTGACGCCCGGAGCGCACTATGGCGAAGTGGTTGCCTACGACCGCGAGAATCCGAGCCGCGGCGCCGTCTTTCGCATTCCCGTGACGGTTGTCAAGCCCGAGGTAGCCATATGCATCCATATGCCAACGGCCAGGCGCACCATATTCTTCTTGGCTTGTAGGTGCTGCCGGCCCCCGAGACGAGCCTGGTCAAGGCCATGGTCCCCGGTGCGATTGCGCGCACGTTTTACCACGTACCCGAAGGTGCGACGTGGATGAACGTGTCGGTGTCGCGCCGCGCCGACGGCTCGGAGCCCAGCCGCGTGCTGTACGTCTTGCACTTGATGCAGCACGCGCTCCATGCGCGTCAGAGCGCGACGTCGACGCACCACTATCTGTATGTCGACAGCACGGGCGACGTGACGCACAGCTTTCCGGTCCGCGCCGCGTCGACGGTCGAGCTCTGCTTGGCGCAAAACTGGAACTCGATCGGGGCGACGACCGCGCACATGGACGTCGCGTTCCATGGCATCGAGCCGACGCCGACCGCGGTATGTCATTCTGACATGCGTGACGGTTTCATGTCTAAGACAACGCACGCTGACAGGTCCATTTGGTCGGTGGCGATGCGTATGCGCGCGTGGACGTGCGCTGCCCGCTGCGCAACGAAGCGATTGCGCCCAGCGCCGTCCTCAACAAGTGGACGACGCGTCTGCGTCCGACGTCATCGGTGGTCTCGCCGCTCGGTCCGCGCGACAAGTTTTCGGAAAACCGCCAGACGTACCAGCTGCTCTTGACGTACACGCTCAAGATGGCCGAGGATGGCAAGGTCACGCCGTCGCTACCGCTGGTCAACGGCCGTCTCTACGAGTCGCCGTTCGACGGCCAAATGCTCTTGGTGTTTGACGAGCAGAAAAAGTACATGGGCGTTTCGGACGCCTACCCGCGACCGATCTCGCTCAAGAAGGGCACGTACACGGTCCGCGCGCAGCTCCGGCACCAAGACCCGTCGATCCTCGATGGGTTGAAGACCGCTGTGCTGGCCATCACACGCGACATCAAGGACGTCGCGATCACGATCTACGACAGCCCGGACGGTCCATCCACAAACGGCAAGGCCGTGGGCACCAAGTAGACATGTCGCATCACGAAATGGCACTGCTAAGAACGCTACGACTGTAGAACGCTCAAGAAGGGCGTGTACTCGACCGTCTTTGTGGGCGAACCAGCGTTCGACAAGCTCCCCAAGGGTCTGGCTGCTGGTGACACGCTCGCGGGCTCGATCACGTACGGCCAAAAGCACAATCACTTCAAGGGGTACCGACTCACTCTTCGATTGGGTACGGCTTGTTGACAAGTGTCTAGTGTCTCGCAAAAGCCCGATGGCTTTCCGCTGACGTACACGGTGCCGTCCGCGCCCACGCCGGTCAAGGAGCCCGAGGCGGTTGTTCCCGAGGTAGTATACTTTTACTTGCAACTGTCCAATTTCCAGCGGCTGCATCTAATGGAGCGACAGGACGTGCGCTCGGAAGACGAGCTCGCCAACGACGCGGTGCGCGACCTTCTTGTCGCGCGGCTTGTCAAGCTCCAGGGCAAAGAGGAGTTTCTTGCGCGCTGGACCGCACTCTGCGAGACGTACCCGGCGCACTTGCCTCTTCTCCAGGTACACTACACTACCTCCCAATCTTTAACATGCCTCAACAAGCCTAAACCAGGCGCGGCTCCACCACTACAAGCACGACGCGCACACCGAGATTGCAGCGGCAGCCGACGCTGTGCTCGCTGCCATCGACGCGGACGCACTGGCAGCCCACTACGGGCTCAAGCTGCTTCCCAACGACGCGGCGGCCGCGAAAGTGCGCAAGACCAAGGATGCTGAGAAGGCGGCGCTCGTGGATGCGCTGAGCCGCAAGGCGCGCGCGCTCGGTACCGCGGGCGACGTCGATGGTTTCCAGGCCGCGTTTACCGCGCTGCAGCAGTGGGCCGACGTTTCCGAGGCAGCGCATGTGCACGCAAGCCTGCTCCAGCACGCGGCGCACCCGGGCTTGGCGTTGCAGGTAACACCAACGACGGGATCGACGTGGCGGAGACTCACTCGATACATTGATATTAGCGACTCCAGAAGCTCGATGCGCTGGCCATGGACGAGCGCGAGAAGCACTTGACGCAGCGTGACTTGCACAAGGCGCGCATCGACCTCTACACATCGCTCGGGTGGAAGCACTATGCTTCGTACGCGGCCAACTGGCAAGTGCTCAACGCGCCGGCCGACTATGCGCTCTTTTAAACGCTCGATTGCGTTGGAATCGCTTGAAGTGGCTTCCAAAATGGCGTTTGATTGCATCGAGCGCGTTACATAGCGTTCGCAGCAGGATAAGAACGAAAGCTTAGAGTTGGAGGAGGCGCAAGGCCGCATCGACGCGCTCCTGGACCGACCGAAGCACTTGGACGTGGTTGACGTTGCGTAGATCGAGAACCATGATGACGCTGGCGACGCGTGGGTTGACTTGGGGCTGTAAAAAGTACGCCTTTCGGTTGAGCACATCAAAAATGACCGTCAGAAGCGTCCAGTTGGAGAGCTCGCCGGCCGCGTGGGACGTCGCATCGTGGAAAATCGGGTACGAGGTGTCGCCCTGACAGAAGGGCGAGGGTTCGATACCGAGGAAAATCAACAAATACCTGATCGCCGAGGACCTCGAGAACCGCTTGAATGCTGCGTGGCGGCGTGAGATGCCGGTACCGCCGCAATCGATGATAGCTGCTCGGCGACATGGGCTGTCGTAAGAGGAGCGTCTGGTACTGATTTGTATGGAAAAACGTCGGGTCGCCGGCCGCGATCTCCGTGACAACCGATCGGTTGAACGACGCCACTTCGATGTTGGCGACGCGTTGGTGCACCGTGTCCATCAACTACTCGTATACTAAGCGCTGCTGGCACATATCGCTCAAGAGGCAGACACCTGGATGTTGTGGCCCGTCGCTTGGTTGGGCTGCGTCACGCGCTCAATGGCATCGTCGTAGCTCGTGGCTGCCAAGAGATCCCGCGACACAAAGCCGCGCCCGAGGCCGTTCGAGTCAATGTCCAAGGGCTCGACATCTAGACACGACCACCGTGGACCCCGCGCATCTGCAACGTAGCTGTAGAGAGACGTACAGTTGAGTGAGAAGGCGACGCCATTGTCGTTTGCGCCAAACGCACCGGACGGCAGGTCGCCGAGGTATGTGTACGCGGTGAACCACGCGTTGCCTTGGATTTTGGCCGTGACGACGGCTGTCCGGTTGACGTCCCTAGCACGATGCACTCGTATTGGCACCAACGAGAAGCAAGAGACACGTACGCAAGGCCGCTGTCTTCGTTGTGTGCTACGATGCACGTGTTGGTCGTGTGCAGTACAATGTCGGTGCAGTGAACCGCCGGCGCCGGGCGGAGCCAGTTGTCGGTCAACGCCACGCGCATCGACGTTGAGTACTCTTCAATGATGTTGAGGATAAAGAGCGTCTACCAATGCACCTCGAAGTCGTAATGCGACGTCGATCGCGTACGCGTACCGAGAAGGCGACCGCGCTGCCATGGGCCATGCCCAAGACTTCCTCGACGTACGCCTACGAGTATAGCATGCGATATACTATGGAAATGCGAAAATCATACCGGGAACGTCCGGTTGTGCGTCGCCAGATACGTGTTGTAGATGGCTTCGCCCGCCGGCGTCGCGTAGAACGGCAGCAGCGTCGCCTGCAGCGCCTGGGTCGCCGCCACGCGCGCTTGGATCGTCGCGCGAAAATGCTCGCCGAGCGCGAGGCCAAACTCGTAGTGCGAGTCGCCTTCGTACTGGAACCATGGCAGCGTGTAGGCGTCGTCGGCGACGGTGGCGGCGGCGATCAGCGCTAGCAGCAGCAGTCCGATCATCATCCGCATCGTTGTGAGCCTGTCTTTGCGTGCTGGATCCAAACAGTCAGCTTGCCCTTGCTCCTCATTGGTCGAAAAGAGCCAATCAGAATAGGCTTTCGACCGACGATCTTGGCAAAGGCGTCCGAGCGGAGCAGACTGCAACCAGTCGTTCGTCTGGCGACAGCAGTGCGCCAGATCGGCGACTGGAGTGATCGCAATGTCGTACCAGCTAGAGATAGATGGCTAGGTACCAGTGTAGTAGAGTGCGCCAGACCTGGACGAGATGCCTGAAATTGCGCCGATGTTGATGACCATGCAACCGTGTTGTGGCGTCAGCAGCGAGTCCATGTAGCACACGCTCACGGCATGCGCTCTAGTAGCATGCGCCGCATTGCTGATGGTCGGTAGAAGACGAGTACCACTCTGCGTAGACCGTTGCATGGGGCAAGTGGACTGTCCGTAAAAACTATAATAGTTTCTACTTACTCTTTTAATTTGTGCATTGTACATTCACCGAGAGGACGCAATAAGTAAGCAACGGCTCATGAGCTTGCGCCCGTAGCGTCGACAGCTGCCATGTCACACAGAAGGCGCCAAGCTCAATGGCCCCCGGTATTTACATAACCAAAGGATGCAGCCGTGCTCTTGCTGGCAGGGATTCACACAAGGGCATCCGATTGTAGAATTCTTCAATGCAATGAAGGAGATCTCCCGAGTGAGTTGCACCTACGCTGCCGCAACGACCGACTTCAGGCATTGGTTCGTGCTGCATTATTGCAGCAAAATGATGAGGCAGGAAGCATGCGAGCAGTGGGCGACGACAACGCGACTCTTCTTCTCGAGCGTCTCGTTGCAGAGGGCGCAAGTCCCACGAACATCGCTTGCACATTGAATGGCAGAAGGCGACGACGGTGTATATGAATTTGGCGAACGAAACGAAGTACTATACTGTCCGCGACCTTGGGCCCGGCTCTCGCGCTTGCTTGCGTCGAATCTTCAGCAGCTTGGTCCACCCTCGTTTCCGAAGATGCATGTGACAAGGCTCATGGTTGGATTCGGTACGTCGGGCTCCGACTTGACGGGATGGTCGGTGGATTTGGCTGCCGTGCGGACCGTGTTTCGTCACGCATGATAAAGAGGAAGCCGACCATTCCAGGCGCCAGACGCAACGCACCCGAGTAGTTTGCGTGGCATTATTATTCGAGTCGTAGGCGACAGGATGTGCGTTGCGATCGCTTGTTCGTTTCATCAACACAGCAGTACTGGCTGTAAGCTCCATGCTGGACCATCCAACATGCAAAAAGCGGCAAGATCGCCTCATCCTACTAATACTACCTGTACTCGTCTCCCCTTCCACGCGCGTGTGACGCGGTGTCACGCCACCCGCAACAATGACAGCGGTCGAACGCCATCGGCAATGATGACGACGACTGCGTTTCCGAGAAGGCTACGTCGGTAATACCAGAGACACCGAGCAGAAGACGTTGGATCAACTAAACGACTATAAATGGCTACTAGACCCCAGATACGAGACTCGATGCGACTCATCAACTGCGATGCATCGATCCCAAAGTCATGCAAACAAGTCGAACGACCCGCGATCACATCGACGACCGGCAACTTCAACTATAAAGTGTCAGAGGCAAAGTATATCGAGTTTCAAGAGTTCAAATGCAGACGATGTGATTGGTGGTATCTTTTGAGCACCACCCAATGGCATCGCGAGGCGAGGCCACTGCGCAATGGCCGGCGTCCCGACGAGCGAGACCGGCGTCGATGGGTTCCTGCGCCGGTATCCGACGTACGACGGACGCAATACGATCATTGCGATCTTTGACACGGGCGTCGACATGGGCGCCGCCGGTCTCCAAGTGACGACCGACGGCAAGCCGAAGCTGCTCGACGTCATTGACGCCACGGTACCCTGCATCGTCTTAATCGCGATCCAACGTAGTATCTCATGCTGTTGGCGTAGGGCGCGAGTACGTTCATCGAGCTTGTTTGTCGCGACCGTGCCTCATGCTGCAATGCTATGTAGATGACGTCGACATGTCGACGGTCGTCAAGGCCAAGGACGGCAAGCTCAAGGTCGGCAAGAAGACATGGACGCTCAACCCATCGTGGACCGCCGTCGATGGCACGTTCCGCATCGGTTCCAAGCGCGCCTACGAGCTCTTTCCCGCGCCGCTCGTCAAGCGGCTCAAAGCCGAGGCCAAAGACGCCTTTCTCGTCTTGCACCGCGCGGCAATCGACGTCGTCCAGACCAAGTTGGTGGCGTGGGAGACCTCGGAGCGTACGGTCGACGTGCGCCGGGATCTGCTTGCGCAACTCTCGCTCCTCGATGAAGCGGCCAAGCGCTTTGACGACCAAGGACCAGTGTACGATTGCATTCTCTTTTTTGACGGCGCCGAGTGGCGTGCGGCGATCGATAGCTCGGGCCATTGCGACTTCAGCGCGATTGAGGCCATGGGCGTCTACCACAAGCAGCGCGAGTTTCGTTGTTTTAGCGACGCGTCCCAGCTGCACTACGCGTTCAACGTCTACGACAACGGCGATGTCCTCAGCATCGTCTGTGACGCCGGATCGCATGGGACGCACGTGGCATCGATCGTCGCCGGCCACGACCCAAAAAACGCAGCGAACAATGGAATCGCACCCGGCGCGCAGCTTGTGTCAATCAAGATTGGCGACACGCGCATGGGGTCGTCCGAGACGGGCACCGCCATCTCGCGCGGTATCCTCGCCGTCTTCGAGCACAAGTGCGACGTGGTCAACATGAGCTACGGCGAACACGTCGTGCATCCCAACCGCGGCCGGTCCGTCGACCTCATCAACGAGCTCGTCCACGGCCACAGCGTCACGTTTGTTGGCAGCGTTGGCAACGACGGCCCGGCCCTCGGGACGACCAAAGGTCCGTGCGGGCTCTCGTCGAGCATTCTCGGAGTCGGCGCGTACGTTTCGCCGGCCATGATGGCCACTGTCCACAGCATGTGCCCGCCGTTGGCCGAGGCGGCGTTGTATACGTGGTCGTCGCGCGGCCCGTCCTTGGACGGCGACAACGGCATCTCGGTCGTCGCGCCCGGCGGTGCGATCACGTCGGTCCCAAACTGGACGCTGACCAAGCAGCAGCTCAAGAACGGGACGTCGATGGCTGCGCCGCACTGCGCCGGCGTCCTCTCGCTGCTCATCAGCGGTCTCAAGGCGCAACAGCTTCCATACCACCCCTACAGTCTCCGACGCGCTCTCGAAGCGACTGCGACGCCATTGCCGGGAGTCGGGGCCCATGAACAAGGCTGCGGCTTGGTCAACGCGCCAGCAGCTTTTGACCACGCGGTGCGGCACGGCCCTTGCCTCTCTGGGCAACCGTGGTTTCTGGACGTGCACGTGACGGCACCAGGACGACCGACAGCGCGGGGGATCTGCCTCCGGGAGCCGTTCGAGGTGACACCTGCGCGCGTCGAGCGGACCATCAAGTTGACGCCGGTCTTTCCAAAAGCAGCGCCAAACGCGGATCGGATCGCGTATGCAAAGACGCTGCGGCTCGTCGCGACGCAGCCGTGGGTGCGCGTGCCATCGACGCTGACGCTGTGCAACGAAGGCCGGTCGTTTGTCGTCTCGATCGACCTAAAGCACGTGGCGAGAGACGAGGTCCATGACGCAACGATCCTGGCGTTCGAGACGCCATCGGACACGACTCCGTGCGTGCGGATTCCCGTGACCGTCATCAAACCACAAGTGGCCACGGACGTCGTGTCATTCACGGCGTCGGTGGCGCCAGGAAAGGTGCATCGGACGTTCCTCACCGTGCCAGCAGGCGCCACGTGGCTCAATCTCTGCGTCGCGACGCCGGGCAGCCAGAGTCCAACCGTCGTGCTGCATCTCAACCAGTACGAAAGCATGACGCGCCCGAACGCCAAGTACCTCCACAAGCGGTTCGTCCCGGATCTGGCGCCGGACGCCGGGATCAGCATGAGTGTTCGGGCGGACGCGACACTCGAGCTCGCGATCGCGCCGTTTTGGAACACGTCGGGGGGTTCCGTCACGCTGCGCGTCGACGGCATCTTTCGCGGCATACTTCCCGACCCGTCACAGGTACTCTTTGTTATTGCTATGTTGAAGTATCGCAATCGGAGTGCGGTTAGGTGACGCTGCACGCTGGCGACGGCACCGCGCGCGTGAACTTGCGCGCCATCTTGCGCACCGAGAGTGTGCTTCCGGACGCCAAACTGCAGCGTTGGACGCAGCGCCTTCGACCGACGAGCGCCCACGTGTCGCCGTGCTCGTTGCGAAGTGCGTGGCCCGACCACCGCAGCATCTACCAACTCGTACTGAGCTACAAGGTGACACAAGCCGACGACGGCCGCGTCGTTTGGCGACTCCCGCTGCTCAACGGGCAGCTGTACGACTCGCCGTTCGAAGCGCAGCTGCTCATGGTGTTTGATGCACTCAAAAACCTCGTCAGCACCTCGGACGCATACCCAACCGAGATGCCTTTGGCCAAAGGGAGCTACGTTGTCCGTGTGCAAGTACGTTTGTGCTTGTATCTTATTCTCTGCGATTCCAAGATGTCATAGATCCGACACCACGAGTACAGTATCCTGAACGGGCTGACGCAGAGCCTCTTGGTTGTCGATCGCAGCATCAAAGACGTTGTTTTGCCCGTCTACGCCGCCGCCGAGAGTGCGTCCACCCAAGCCAAGCCGATGGCGACAACGTAAGGAGACGTATCGTGACATGTCTTGTGTCTTCGGATGTGGCGTAGTGTGCTGGCCAAAGGTGCCGAGCTACCCATCTTTGTCGGGGAGCCTCCGATCGAGAAGCTCCCAAAAGGCGCCGCCCCCGGTGACGTCCTCACAGGTCGCATCACGTATGGGAAAACGCAGCTCGAGACGTGGCGCGGGTATCCTAGTACTAAAGGTCGTGTGAGTCTATGCACTCGAATGTAGCGCGAGCTGCAAACCAAATGGCTTTGCTTTGACGTATACGGTGCCGCCGTCCGAGACCAAATTCAAGGAGCCCGAGGCCAAGGACGCCAAGGTCCATGAAATTGCTATCAACTTGATACAAATCGACCGCTAGAGCACGGACGACGACGATGCCGAGAATGAGAGAATGCGAGCGCCGATGCAGACGCGCTGCGTGATTTTCTCGTGAACCGGGTCACCAAGAAAATTGGAAAAGACGACTTTCTACCCATGTGGCAAAACCTCCTGGCCACGTACCCGGGGCACCTACCGCTCCTCCGCGTTCGCCCTGCAATATTTCGTTTTCAATGACACCTCATGCCTTGACACATCTAGGCGCATCTGCAGCATCTCGACGTCGAGAAGACGCGTCTCGACCACTTGAGTGCGATCGTGGCGGCCGCCGATGCCCTTTTGGCGCAGCTTTTGCCCGATCTACCGACGCTCGCCGCGTACTATGGACTCAAGGCGCAGCCGTCGGCGTTGCGCAAAGAGAACGACAAGAAGAAGGCGCTGCTGGTCGACGCGCTGGGTCGCAAAGCCCGAGCCCTCGCCGACGCGGCGAATGAAATGGATTTCGTGCCGACGTATACGCTTTTGCAGCAGTGGGCATCGACTCCGTCGGACGTCAAGCACCTCCACGCAGCGCTGTACGACGACACGCGACGTGGCCTGTACGGCCTTGCCCTCCAGGTAGACGCGCTCTCTTCAACTGTCTCGTATGTTGGACGATTGGGATAGCGGCTGCACGCGATGACGTCGAGTGTCGACAAGCCCAGTGTCGCCAAAGAGGTACTTCTCACGCTGATGGATCGCACGTGAAACTAAGATGGTGACTAGATTCTGGACAAGAAGATTGCACTCTGCCGAATGCTGGGGTGGACGCACCTCGCAGCGACCCTCACCGTGGTCAGTCCAAAAGACTATGCGCCCTTTTAGTCGACTAACTAAACATAGTCCAAGACGTTAAAAACGCTTGTATTGACGTGGGATCTATTTTTTACGACGCATGAACCCCAAGGACGCGATCGGGTCGTACCTGTCGTCGCTCCGCGGCGACCGCAAGCTCGTGGAGAAGATCGACGAAGGCGTTCCGTTCTTCGTGCCGCAGCTCTCGAAGGTCAAGACGTCGGCCATGTGCACCAACAAGAAGCAGACGCACCTCCTCTTTGGCTACGAAACACTCAAGCACTCGTTCGACGAGTCGTACCGCAAGCAGGGCAACCCGTCGCTGTACACGGCCGAGAAAATCGAGCAGCGCCAGCGTCTCCAGAACAACCGCCAGATCCAAGCCTGCCTGTGTCGGTTCTGGGACACGTTTACGAGCGTGCGCCTCGGAAAAACCACCATCGACGAACCAGAGTACTGCGACGTCTTTGTCAAGCTCTTTAAAGCGCTCGTGCCTCCCCAAGAGGTGCGTGCATGCTGCCTGCCGCGGTGCATTCCTGTATTTTCTGCATTTTTCTGTATTTTTCTGCATGTTTCTGTATTTTCCTGTATTTTCCTGTAGTTTCCTGCTTTGTATTTCCTGGTCCTTTGGTCGCTTGGATTGTTCAAGTGAGATGCTCTGCTGGATAGTTTGCTGTCGCAGAAGCCCGCAAGATTGTCGAGAAGGACTGGGCGCGGGACGTGGGCGCGGCCAGCGAAGCCATGACCAAAGCCATGTTTTATCGGTCGCTCTTTGAAGTGGTAGTAGTATCTATCAACGTATCAAGTCGGATGGAGCTCTGATTGTTGCGTAGGCGGACATTTGGACGACCGAGATTGGTGTCGACGAGTACGTGACGTTCTTGACCAAGCTCTTTGAACGCGTGACGATGACGGTATTCGACCAAGAGAAGGCGTTGTGGCTCACCAAGTTTGCCGACCTCGACGTGATCAAGTCGAGCTGGGACGAGAACCAAGCAGTGGTCGCGGCACCCAGCGAGGCCATTTCGCCCAAGCGCCAAGCCGAAATCACGCGCCTTCGAAAGAAAGCGCACACGCTGAGCTCGATTCCCCTCCACGACGAGAAGAAAAGTGACCTCCCAAGTGTCGTGACGAGTCCCGAACGCCAGCGCTCGTTTCGGCAGCGCAAGAGTGACCGCCGACTGCCGATTGACGCGCCGTCGTCACCGATTCTCGCCACCGACCCGACGCCGGAAGCCAGCGACGTGGACGCGCCAAAGAGCAGCCCGACGCGCGCGCCATTTGCATCGCCGCGCAAGCCGCCGAAAGGGTATCATGACGGCAGCGGCCAAAATGTCGAGCAAGTCCGAGTGGCGATGCCAAGCATCTACCTCTCACCCGACCTCGAGGTTCAAAAAGAAGACGTGTCGGCCGTGAAGCGCCGGCAGCGAGAAAGCGCCAAGCTCGCCAACCGCCTGCGAAGGTATAGTAGTGTCCGTCTGGTGGACCGACGCGCTAACCCTACTCTCCGTAGGACAACCTACTAAGCTTAAGATGGAACAGGACCTATGTGTGCTCTCAATGCCGTTCGATGGACGAGTGTATGTTGTTCGAGTTATGGGTCGCTACGCCATGCCTTTGGCCTGCTTTCGCCGGGCACCTTCCTTGCGGTGGTGGTTGCCCACTTTGGCCTTGTTGTGCTCCTTGCGCGCCCGGTTGATCATTTGCTTCTTCGGGTCCTCCGACGCCGTCTTGTCTTCGGCGACGATCGCTCCGTTCTTGGCCTTGGTCGTGCGGCGGCCTTGCGTCGGCGGCTTGGCCTCGTCCTCGCCCTTCTCTGCCGTCGAGACTGCCGTCGCGTGGTTCTTGTTGCGCATGCTTTCCCAGTACGCGTCCTCGGCTTCCTGGGCACGGACCATCTTGTTGCGCGCCTTGATCTCTTCAAAGTCGGTCGGCTCGTCGTCGTGGACGCCGAACGGCTCGTATTCTTCGAGCTCGTCGTTGTAGTCGTCGTTGTACTCGTTGGTCGTGGGCGCGTCCATCCACAGCGGTGGTTCTTCGTCGTACGCCATGATGAGCGCCTGTGTCTTGGCGGCCGTCGCCGCATCTTCTTTGGCACTCTCGGCCTTGTAGGTGGCTGCTTGCTTCTTCTTTCCGACCTACACCCGACGTCATGTTGTTGTTGTGGGATTTCTCAGCGTACCCAAACTTGCGTCTTGTCGACGGTCGCCGTCGGCTTGGGAGTCGTCATCGCCACGTATGCTGGGTCCGACGTGGTCATGTGACGATCGAGCGATGCCACCTCTATGACGTCATCCATACAGACGCCTATCATAAGTAAGGAGACCATACCGGCGGGAAGAGCGTCTTCGAGGAGCGCCATGATGACATTGTCGGCTTGGTGCTTGCACGCTTTGAGGCAGAGCTCCAAAAAGCCATCGCCAAGGTCCGGGAAGACATCTCGGACTTGCGCGATGAGCGCTAACGTGTCGACGTCGACGGCAGGCATCGGCGGTGCCGCCATTGACGTGGGCTGGGCTGGGGCGGGCACTGCGCGTACGGGCAGACCGTTGAGCATCATACCAAGGTACTCGGCGCGCGTGCTGTCGATACCGGCGGCCGCAAACACACTCGCGCAATTCCGCTAACCAGCAGCGTCAAGCCGGAGGCATGGACGGGAAATAGACTACCGTCAGATCGAAGCACTGGTTGTAGTCCGAGAGCAGCGAGCCGTGCTGCGTGACGATGGCCGGCGCCGCGTTGCCATGCAAAAGCACGTCGAGAAGCGAGAAGAGCGTCTCGCAGGCCTCGTCCGCCTGCGGCGATCGACTTCGCAACACCGAAAGCACGTGGTGTTCGAGCCAGTGGTCCAGCAACTAGCATGCACAGCGTCAGAACGACCGAGCGCGGCGTCACAGAAGCGTACGGTGACGAGGTGGTGGCGCGTCTTCCCGACGAGCATGCGGACCGAGTGCGTGTCGCCATTCATCTGCTCGAGCATCGGAAGATCGCATTCGTACGCGACGAGGAGAGCGTGCAAGAGCGTGTTGCCGTCAAACGCTTGGGCCAGCGGTTGTCCCGGCGGCGTCAGTACGTCGAGGAACGTTGGCGAGCATGCGCCGAGTGCTTCGACCTACATTGAACGTGTCCAGGACGAAATGGCAAGGCCATGGGGCATGTACCGACTGCGCAATGTCCTGTAGCTGCTCCAGAAGCTCCGTGGCCGCCTCGTCGGCGTCCTTGAGCGTATTGACGCGCCCATGCAGCTCGGCCAGCGCCTACGCATGTGCATGAGCGCGCGTGGCTTATGCGATCGAGTCCGAACCTGGTAGAAGACGGCATGCAGCATCGGCACTTGCTCCTTGAGGCGCGGCGCGCGGGCAAAGAGGCGCTCGACGACCCATTGCATGGCCTGTACGTTGCTCTCTGCGTAGACCGAGCACATGACGAGAAGGCGCGAGAGCGAGAAGACGCCACGCTGCACGAGCTGGTCGATCGGCGCCTCGTCCGCGGCGAGGACGCGGGCCACAATGGTCAAGAGGTTCTCGGGCAAGCCGACCGGGATCGCTTGCTTCGTCGCGATCTTCTTCGCGAGGGCCTTCATCTCCATGAAGACGAACTCGGAGACCTTGGCGTCCGAGGCGAAGACGCGCAGGAAGACGTCGCGCTCCAAGCTCAAGAGCGCTGCGTCCGTCATCGTGTGTGGTATTCTGGAGCACGGCCGCCACCCTCTTTTGTCACCAGAGTCCACGTTCCGGGAAAGGTGCGCGCGGTCCACTTATTTGCGGCATTCGACATTCAAACGCGGCACATGCCGAAAACAAAAAATGACGTGGCAAGCGGACGGCACGTCGAAGCCATTCGCATGCGATGCATGGAAGCGTGCAACATGATGCCCGCGTTCTTGCTAAGTTGGCACGTATTGGACGCACCTCGAACGAGGCATTGGTGGCCAAGTCGTCATCGAGGTGTGGCAGTGTCATCGTCCGGCACCCGACCAGAGCGCGGCCGCAGACATGGCCAACACGAGTGGGCATCATCTTCATTGGTAGGACAGCTAGGACGAAACAAGGATGCTTTGCTGCACTGCGTGGAACCGCTCGATGCTGCTTTTTGTGAGCGGTATGCGCGTTGAACGAGCATGAAGTGCCGAATTTCAGCTTTTTAGTTGTTTTTGAGGCACTACTACTGGCGCATGCCGAGGATCGAAGCACCGCCGACCGGCGAAAGAAAGCAGACAGTATTACCATCGCAGCACGAGCGACAGTCTCGACAGCCGTGGGTACATGCTCCCGAACGCGTGTCGAGGAACGAGCCGCGGTCATGTTGAATGAACGACATTTTTCGAGAGGTGTTTTATACAGTACATGTGTTTTTATTGT